TGCCACCTGACTCAGCCTCCTAGAACCTGGAGGGCGGGAAGGGTGCTACAAGAGCAGACCACACAGGCAAGGGGCCCAAGGACAGTGAGCTCTGGAGCCAAAGTGACTGGGTTCACGTCCTGACTCCCACGACTCATAAGCGGTGCCACGTGGGGCAAAAATATTTACTTCCTGAATCCTTTTCCTAGTGTGTGAAATGGGGATGCCGACCTCTCCCTCGGGGGTTGCTGTGAGGGCTACTCATAGACAGCAGTAAGGTAGGTGTTGAGCTGTAATTATTAATAATACTAACAATGATATTACTATTGCTAACTAAAGGATTTCCTTAGCAACCCCAGTGAGGTTATGCAATAAGAGTCAACCCCAGAGTCGCTCTTTTCCGGGGGTGCTGAATGTAAAAACGGAGCCCCTGGGTTTGCCAGCCTGAGGCTTGGGCTGTGAGCCTTGGTGGCCAAGAGGCTGCACCCCAAGGAGCTGGGGTCGAACTGTGCACATGGCACATGTGAACTGGATACACAGCTTGTAGCTTTGTGGGAAAGACATCCTGTCTTGGGGAGAATGTAAGTGTTATCTGCATAAACCGAATGTAGCCAGCAAGCAAGTTCTTGCTGCAAAGAGTTCTCCGGCGACCAAGAGTGTGTGCTGTGGAGAACAGTCACCTGCACCTCACGAAGCCTCGGTAACATTTAAGTGGGATAATGATGTGAACCGCGTATTTCCCGGCACAATGGAAGCAGGCAACATACTAGAAAACGTCTCACGTTTTACAAACGCGTGTTTTGTTTTGTTTACTGTATTTTTATTTAAATCAGAGCCTCTGGAAAGGGAGAACTGCAGGGAAAGAATATTCCAAACTCCAAAATATCAAACGTGTGCTGGTACAAAAAAAAGTTACATTTATTTGACAAGGTAGTTATTTCCCTAAAGTATTATACATAAAGGAAAATTAAGTTGTCTGTAAGAAAACAATATAATTTTAGGAAATTACAGAATGGTCAACATTGTGCTTAAAACTTTAAAATAGAGAGATTTTAAAAAATAGCACAGTAAGTGAATATTGTAAGGTATGAACACCCTAAAAAAGTGTATATGAACACAATGATATGCAAGCTCAGTATTAAACCTCCAGTGACGATCTGCCTTCAGACTGGTTCGGAATAATCAGAGAGCGCTGCGTCCATCTTAATAGAAAAAGAATCTCAAAGCACTGATCGAAACATGGCCCTTTCCTATACAGTCAGCTGTCCATTATCCATAATAATGAAAGGAGCCGGGACTTACAAAGTTTTTAAAATTCCAAAATTAATTTTGAGAAGTGTCCTTATACTTATGCTTGGATGTGAGAAACACTGACATCCCCTGAAGCACAGAACTGATAAAGTGAGAACTCCCACTTCCTTCTCCCCTCCTCTTCAAGGGCAAGACACGAGTCACATACTACTTTCTAAAAAGCTTCAAATACAACTGGCCTCCTTAATTCTGGTTCACACTTCCTCTGGAGAGGGGAGCAGGAAAGA